CTCTGATTTATATACCCTATCCTAGAGTAAACTGCTTGAAAACCATACCCTTCACAGCGGCACATACCTATATAGCCCATATATGGCAGTGCACCCCCCGGGTTACTTCTATGGCGAGGTCCAGCCGTAAAGAAAAAGCCGCCATTTTTTAATGCGCGCGCAATAATCACGTGTGAAATTATGCGCAGTAGGAATGCGCAAGGCAATACTGGGGAATGACCTTAAAGGCCCATTACCTGACCTTTTTGAGCCGTTGCCAAGGAAAATTTATGTTCATATAACCTCGTCACTTTCAGTTAGTTCAGAGTTATTTCATGTGTTTTAACTTTTTTATGATCAGTAACACCAGTGATGACGTCATCAGGCCACGCCCCTGGAGATGTGACTAATTCTGAAAAAAGGCTCCCAAGCATATTACGTTATTGGGATTTTTTTTTTCATGGATTTAATATTTTAATTTTAATCTTAATTACGCTATGCATAGATTTTGTTTCATTTTTAAAAGGTCAGATTTTGAGAAAATTTTAAAATATTGAAAAATTCACAATTTTCTGAAAAAAGCGTAATTTTACAAAGGAATGCATAGCTATGTTTCCAGCATTGGCTTAAATCATAACATTGTTAGCATTTAAAGAAACCGGAAGTGCGCGACATCTATTGGAAGTTACCCCATCAGCATGTACGCAGTTCACACTACCAGTGGCACTTCGATAAGTTCAAACGAACCACACAAAAAAGAAATCGAATAGTTTTTATTTTTCTGTTGCCCTTGTTTTTCTGTTTTTCTCTTATTTATTTTTTGCTTGTACCATTTTACTTTGCATTTTGTAAAACACAAAGAAAAAACATCTTAAGCGTAACCAAATTTGCAAGTTGTTGAATTGTTTACGTTTTCCGTGCTCAGGCTGATGCAAGTAGCTGGAAGTGAAATTTCACCTCCTTATGCACACATAAATCGGGTATTGGACCCTTAATCAGTTCCTAGCTTCTACTCTGTAAGTGCTATTTACAGTTTCCCTAAGTGCCTGTAGGATACAAAATTTGAGAGTGTGTATTCACAGTGAAATTCCTTATGTATGACAGCGACAAGATGCATGGAGTGCTCTTTATTTGATCAACAATTTTATTCTGGAACTTTAAAAAGTCTGATAACTGCTGGATTTCTGAAATGCAAACCATGCTGCTGAAAATTTCAGGAGTAAAATTAACAGGAACAGAAATTTCTGATAAGAAATTTGCGATAATTGGGGCAAATACCCTCATACAACAAAAAAAAATGCCACTTTAAACTTTTGAATCAATGGCAAATTGAACAGCATTTTACCAGAAATTACTGTTCCATTTGATTTTTGTTTGAAATTTCCAGGATGTTTGGTTGAAATGGTTCATATTGTGGAAATTCAACTTTTTTTCGGATTTTTCATAAACTTTCCAAGGACAATAATAGTTAGCGCAATTTGCCATTTTAAAAGTTCCAGAATTTTTGGTTGAATGGAAAGCACCCCTTGTGATGATGTCGTCTTTACAGGGAATTCTGGAAAAAGCTGTTCCATGATCATCACTGGAAATTTCTGGAAATTTGAGCTGAAATTTTGGGTTGGATGGCAAGTGCACCTTGTGTTATCTAGTACAGAGGAATTTTTGGCTATAGAGCACAGACATTACAGGGCTTAATGCTAACTTTTTACACCACTTTCCACCTTGGAAAGTAGATTTCAAATTTTAATTTCCATCTCAAAATTTTACTTTTCAGAATGGAGGCTGGAGGAGTCCTGAATCCAAAAGGGGGGATTTGATTGCACCATACTACATGTATTTATCGCACCCAGACCTACTGGGCAGCTCTCTTGGTATTCCAGTATGGTGGATCGGTAAATGCTAGAATGGTGTAAACTTGTCCTTTTGATGGAAAACAGAAAATCATTGCCAGATCTGATTATTTTCATCATTTGATTATTTTTTATACACATGTTTCTGCATAAAAGTTACTTTCCAGCATAGCCCTAACTTTACTTCCCAGATTGGGTAAGTAGTTTGGTTCATTTTCAATTTGTTAGTTTCCAAGAAATAAATTCACTTTCCAATGGAAAGCAGGTAAGTGCTAGTGTTGAGCCCTGCATTACTGTTACACAGTTATACTAACCTCAGATCATGAGATTTAGAAAATGCATTGAAGCATTCATCTCTTGAGCGAATCCTGTGGGCAAACAATTTTCCAGCAGGGTCCAACATCCTGGCAATGGTGTGTGCATACATCCTTGAGCCCATGGTAAATATGTGAAGCTCATACAGTTTAGACACTCGATCCAGGAAGCTGATGGCTCCTGGCCTAATCTTGGTATGGTACCACACAGGGTGACCGGGTAGTTGGAAGTGATGGACATCCTGTGTATGTACACACAAGTAAAGGTGATGTTACACAAGCCGATTTTTAACACTGATTTATAACAGTTGTTCAAAGGATGGAAAATAATATTTACCAAATAACTCACTACCCAGTGGATAGCATTGTTGGTTTTGTTGACAGCAACATATATCAACTGGAAAGCGAATTACGGTACTTTGTATTATTCACTCTTTCAACAACCAGGGCTAAGCCACATTATTCAAACTTTGATCATCTCTAATCTGCAATTAAAGGTTGACCAGAGTTTTATTTCTCTCAGTTTTCAAAAAGAAATACAACTAGTGACCAATTATTATTTTTAAGATACACAAGTAAAACTAGACAAGCTTCATTGTGCAATGAGCACCCAGGCTTTGGGAGTACAAGAAGTACTGAGAAAGTCAAGTGTCTTACCAGTGAACCTAACACAAGTAGCATAACAATATGCAATATGCCACTGTGCTTCAGACTAAGAGTAGTTTATACCTCCATGTCTTCTGGTATCAGTTCCATAGTTGTGTGAATAAGAGTCTGGTCCAGATCCACAACAAGGGACAGTCTGCGGGTTTGAAGAAGTCTCTCCTCATCCTTTTTTCCCAAAGCCTCAGCTTCCTGAAAATATAAGGCAGCAAGTTTATTTAGACAAGCTTATTAAACACTGTAATAAAAAAAACTCATCAAGTGAGGGAAGCACATTCCACTTGCTTCCCCAACCACTTCAAACTCTTAATTTTCTGAATGACTTTCTTGATGAAGTTGGTCATAATTTAATAGTAATTAGCATTATTCTGTCAAGAAGAAGAAACCATCAGTCTTTTTTTCCATTGAAACCTCTAACAGTACCAATAAATCATTATGTAGAGATAAGGGATGAAAATATTATGACAAAGTATCATCAATTACCATACTTTTTAAAAGTACACAAGGTACACAAAATTGCAAATAAATTAAGGATAGCACATGTTTTGAGCTTGGGATTTTAGTTATGAAAAGTGACCTGAGCTGTACTGGTACTGTCAATAACACAGCTTGTAAGTACCGAATTGGAACTCTTGGCTGGTAGAAATTTATTGAATACATAATTACCTGTTGAATGGCACAAAGAGGACTGAGTGAGAAGTAAATTACCTGCTGGCTCACTTTGAGCTCGGGAATGTTGTGTATGAGAGGTACAGATGCCAGGGTTGGAGAGGAAGGTTCATCTTGTTCTTCATTGAGTCTAAACCAAAAAATTGATATTCTGTTAGGGGGCTATGTCTACATCCAATGCATTTGCCGGTTAGCTAAGTGAAATCAATCTAACCAAATCAAGTCAAAGTCCAAGTCAAATGTCTGGGTTATGTTAAATGTAATATGCTGTATTATCTTTTTCTCAGCTTGTAAGCGGGTGGAATTTGACAAATCCTGCAATCTGATTGGTTCCTGGAGTGGGCAGATTTTTCTCATCTGGACTGCCACAGGAAGCTGAATCCATCGAGTTGATCTATTTTCACGAACGAATTGGCGGTAATTGTCAATCTTTCACCCATTCTACCCTTTCATAGATGATTAATCAACACAAGTTTATCTCTATTCACCTTTAAATGGCAAGGAGAGTCACTGTAAGTAAACTAAATTGAGTTTTTTGAAGTTGTAAGAGTTTGTTTGGCTGTTTGTAGCTCAGCCCTGTAATAGTGCGTAATCCTGGGCGTCTCTCTCCGTACAATTTTAAGTAAAAAAATGAGTCAATTTCAGTTGAATTTACCTATCTGATCGTTGCTGTATTTGAGAGAATTTCTGTGGAATACACATAACAAATTTCTTCGCTATCTGCTACTCCACTTACGGTAGAAAAGTCTGATTTCAAGTGATTCACAACAACTAACAGAAATGGTTTTTGTAGTACAACTTCAAACTTTGCACAAAATTTCACACTGGAAAAATAAGTTTGGAGAACTTAACTGGTCAACTAAATGCAGCTAACATAAAGTAGTTCGAAATAAATCTGTTCTTTAATGTATCTTTCTTTCTCTAGTATCNATAAAGCTCTTCAGAGATCTATGCATATGTAACTCACTGAAACTAGTACATGCTACATATTTATGCAGAAAAAGTATCTAAAACCAAGCAACAGCCAATTGGAGATACTGCAGGAAATTTGGCAGTCTTGTGTTAACAGTATGGATTGTTTAGGTTAAAATCTGTAATATTACTTTAGCAGGAGATAAACTGTGAGTGTTGTAAGCTGGATACATAATGCCAGATTAGTAAAGGATGGACCGTTATATTTTCAAGGTGGGTTAGGGCAGTTTTTCTGAACAGGAATTTTTGTTCAGTGTCAGACTATGCAAGAATTTTTCTATTTAGTCCGTGCATCTTTTGCATGGCTTGTTTTGCTTAATATTTTTTCTTTTAAATTTCTTTTCAAGACAGTTTTTTGATAATTGCCCAACCCTTCCTCTCATCAAAAATAGAATGGTCTATCTTTGAGTGTTAGAGATAAATGTATGCAGAAAGTTATGAAAACTACAGTATATTGGTTTGATGGAACGAAATATTCCCCATACTACAGAACACATTAATTCTGACAATTGGATTGGTCGATCAGTATCCAATCAAATCCTGTCAAAATATTAGCGGACTGAAATGGAAAAGACTCGAGCGTTTCAGTGGAGGTAAACTGGCCTCAACGGAACTGTCATGTGAAAACTAAAACGAAAAGATTTAGAGTTGGTTTCTGATCTTGATGTTTTATCAAGTGGAATAACACGGGAATAATGTAATTTCCATTCGCACAAAAACGAAGTTTTCATTTTCTTGTTTCCTCGAATTTCCAATAATTGCATACAAAAGCACTCGTTCCTGTTCAGTTTAGGTCGTTTAGTAATCTTAAAACGTGCAGCTATTCATGGTCTCATGTTTTAAACACACTTTGATCTTTCAAGGTCGTAGAAAAATTTCTAATGGAATAGATTTCGATACAAATTACCACAATATACGGCAAGATATTGACGAGGTACGATTTCTGTAGGCACTTGAATTGATCAAACAGATGAAAACAAACTTTTCAGCAGCAAGTCGGCTGAAATGTGATGGATGTATTTGCAAGACTTTAACTCTCTTGAAACCAAATAAAAATTGCTTAATTGTATCAAAAAATGGGAGCTTGCATTTTTGGACGTGATAGTTTTCAGCTTCATGATGTTTGCCTTACCTGGCTGCAACGATGTCTCCCTCAGAAACGAGCAACTCACGGACTTTGCCAGTGAAAACTGATTTAAGTTTCGGCTGAGTTATAAACGATCCAGTTCTTTCCGCTTCGCCAACAATTTCATAAAAGCAGAGAACACTTCCTTCTCTAACCTCTGAGCCCGCGCAAACTCGCCATCGCAACAGCTTTGCAGAGGACGTGGTGGAAATAACAACTTCTCTGGCTTTTCTGTCCGCCATTTTGGTTTCACTTTTCGCGCGTGGGGTCAATAATTAACTACGTAGGGTGGGGGGAGTATAAAAATCTACTCTCTATGATAGGGTAAGTAAACAAAGCGATTTCGTGTTGGTGAACAGGGGAAATTGAACGTGGAAAAACAATCGATTCTTTTTTAAAACCAAAGCTACCAAAAGATGTTTTAAAGCAATTAAAGTAATACAGATCAAGAGAAAAGTTGTTTCTTTCTCATTGCACACTTTGTATAAGTACAAGTTGCTGGTCCTTGGAAATTTTTTGACTACCACACCCTTCGTTGAAAGGCAAACTCATTTCGTGAAGCACACTATTTTTTAACCAGGGATTTCCATTCCTTTTCTTCTAAGGTCCTCCAGTGAGAACTCTTTTCGCGACTACACTGCGCCCGCGCGCAATCGAGGGTTCAAATTTGAATAATTTATGCGTGCGCCTTTGTCGCCATGTTGCAATCCAAGAGCACTTCCTCTCACACAGGGAATTTGCTAGTTTAGAGGTTTTGGTTTCACTTTTATAAATTTCGCTATTGAATTTTGTACTCATGGACGATAATGCAAGAGGAGTGGCCTCTAAAATACTCTGCGACTTGCTTAATATTCCAAAAGGTGGAAGTACGGTCGCTACTGATGGTACGTACTAATGTAGCACGTTTTACGACAGTTAAACACTTTTGCTTCTATTTGCGTACAAAAGACAAAATTAAGCCACGAAATGTGAATATTCAAGAGAGCATTTGAGTGTCCGTAAATATTAACCTTTGTTTCAGTGGACTCTTCACCTAAATTATAGGAAATCAAGTCTTTACTTAATTCTGTTCCTGGAATCAATTTTGTGATTGTTATCTGTCAAAATACAAATTTGTTTGTGACGGAAACGGCTTTGAATGTCGGCAAAACGTAGCTATTATCTTACATCATTTGTGTAATGTAATTGTACTGGTGTATGAATTGGCTCTTTTAGTAGAAATTTTACCATAAGATTTAACTTGAACATTTACACATGAACTTGTATTATCATATTTTTAAGTACAGTGAAACCTGTATTAAGCGGATCCCATATCAAGGACGGTGCCTAGTTTTTTTAGTGCACACACGTTCTGCGCATCATGCAAGGCATGTTTTAAGCACCACGCGCATTCTGGGGTTGACATTGACGCAATCAACTATGCTACCAAGCATACGAGTAATATGAAAGCAAAATTTTCCTTCTGTGACCAAATCAAGTTTAATGAACCTGTGCGTAAACCAGGAACACCAGAATAGAAGCATATCACTAACCATTAACTGTTAACGTCTTCCAGCTGAAAAACCAGCTGTTATCTGTTGAAAATTATACTGAAATCCAACTGTAAACATGTACCTGCAGATGGCATAGAGTGCACGCAAAGCAAGGGTGAGATATTCAAATGTTTTACTTTCTGGGGAGGTAACAGGAAAATATGTAACGGGCACTGTGAAAGTTTTCAAAACAAGATCAATACCTTTAAAAAAACGCGTGGTTGGGTTACCCTACATTTTATGTTATGAAATGGAATTGGCAAGCCTATTCAATAAGTGACTAGTTTCTGGTGGTGAGCAAAAGGCATTTAGACTGTATTTTAGCTGAACCAGAGGAAGACTGTCAGAGACGTTAAAAGCACCATATGCACTGTCTTTAAGCAGACACCCTCTGTTAAGCGGACACCAGCTTGAGTCCCCAAATTTTCTTCCCACATTTCATCATCATCATCATCATCATCATCATCATCATCACTTCTCGAGGTGCCAGTAGGTTCATAAGGTCTTCCCACATTTACTGTAAAATAAACTGGCATTCAGTGGACACCTCTGTTAAACAGATGCAGACACCAATATTAAGCCATTTTGTTGCAGAAAACCTGCAACAAGCAGACACTTCAAGGGCATTTTGCCTCTAAAGGTTCAGCTGAGACTCCCTTAACATTGTTCAGTGATGTTGTTTTAAAACTAAGTGATTATTTCAGATTGATACATTGACTGACTGGACATTGTGCTATGAACAGTCGTTGATCTGACACTGTGTTACACCGTGTTACAAAAGGGTTAATAATCAAGTATTATTGCACAACATATTAGAACCTGTTTTGAGAGGACACCCTGTATTAAGTGGACACTAATGAGGGTCCCAAGGGTGTCTGCTTAATACAGGTTTCACTGTACTTGCATTGAAGTTACTTTTATTTCCTATACATGGCTATTAAGGGTAACTAAAAGGGCCAGTAACTAAATTCAACCAATCAGAATGCTTTATTGCCATGCTATTAGTTTCTCAGCTAGTGTCACACAACACATTTACTTACGTATATATTTTATTCTCTTAATGCTAAGTAGCATATAAGACTGTCAGTCAATTCACCAGTTTACAAATAACATGCAATAGGTGTGCAAGTATCTCATTAATTTTAGCAATGGGTTTAACAGGTTGTGTATAAGTTGTTTCTAAGTCTCTTCTTGCTGAACCTACCCAACATCTTAGCTTTTGTTATCCAGAGGTAATACACAAAAATAAGTATGCTTTACTGTCATTATTAAATAAAATTGTTACTGTGCATTTAGTTTCTTAATAATTTGATCATGACCAATCAGGGTGATTTAAAGAAAACAATTTTTTGAACTTGTGTGGAATCTTATACAACTCTCTTTCTTATGTTTTTAATGCTTTTATATCAAAGTATAACATTTGTGAGTAGTAATGATATTAATCCTTCTTGCATTAGCAGATAATCAAGTAAGTAATGGTTTAGAAAGACAAGAAACCGGAGAAAGAGATGCTGATGATTCTATAAGGTAAACTGTGTAAAAATGTGTAAACTTGGTGCAGTGTCATAGCCAGTGAACAGGACTCTGAACCGAGTGATTTGTTTTTTTATGAATCAGTTTGGTTTTTATTTTGATTTCTCTCTGACAATAATCAATTAATATGAGATAAAGGAAAATCTTTCAAACCAGACTCAAATAAGCCTTCTTGAAATATTGAAATTCTAACATGGAGTAGCCTGCAGTGCAGGCGTGTTTTGCACAAGTAAGTGCACATTTTCGTATTAGGCTGCCATCTTGGATTTGGTAACTGTGGAGGGTTGGGGTGAGGGAAAATTTGCTAAGGGATTAAGTGTGAGATGGAAGAAATGGCCTCTGCCCCCCTCTGCCCCAACCCTCTACCAGTCAAGCATCCAATTACAATCTAAGATGGTGACATTGAAAACCTGGTTTCGTTCCAAAATAATGCCTGCACTGCAGTCTAAAGATGGGGCAAAGGTTTAGATTAACAGAACAAAAGAAATAATGTCAGAGTCGAGGAGTAAATAAATAAATCCCCTAAACCTTGCTGTCAGGTTACTCTGAATGTTTTAACATTTTGAAATGGGCCTGTTTAATTATCACACTTAGATTGATTAAACTGAAGTGTGGCCTGCTCGTTTAGCAAAACACAACAACTTAGGTATGAACCAGCAGGCACCTGTCAAACAGACATTGCATGTCTGGGGAAAGAGACAAAAAAAGGAAGGAAATAGTGAGGAAATAGCCATGTCATCCCCACCCACCCCCAAAACTCCACCTTCAAGAGACCATGCATTGACATGCCAGAGTGCTATGCATAAGGCACACATAAGTTACTGCTGTGTACATTTACATCTCCACATTTTTATCACAGCTGTTTTTAAAATGTCAAGCACACGTGTTTCTCAGATTCAACTTAATTCTGGTTTGACTTACTACAACTTGTTATGCTTTATCTTGTTTTAAACCACATTGTTTTTTCTTTGTTGCAGTGAAACAGCATCGACAGCAAGTTCACTTTCACCTTTAAGAAGGGTAAAAATTGTTGACACTGTATAACCTATGAGTTAAATGAAATGGAAATGATTTCATCTATCAATTTTGAATTTTAATTGATAAGCATTATAATTCGCACTGGCTTCCCTGCAATTTGAGTGGCTACTTTAAACAAGCATTGATTGATTGGTTGTTTACGTTTTAGTGTTTCATTCTCATGGGCTGTGAAACTAATGAGACAATCTCAGATAGTGCAGAGCACAATTGTTAGCTGTGGTACAGTAGTCCCATAAGTAGTCACCCCTGCTTGGTTCACTTCCGGTTTGTGTCTACCTTGGTAGTCTGCTACAGCTTCTCCCCTTTGCAGTGTGTATGTTTCAAGGTTGTATTTTCATTCAAGGTCCAAAAATTACGCACAAATTAATTACTACTGGTGTTTTACATTGATTTTCGTTCATTTTAAATTCAATAATATGCTGAAGCAGCAAACGTGACAATTTAGCTCTTCACGCCATCTTTGTAACTTGATACTTCTGTTTTCCTTGCAAAGGCATGTAATATGAAACCCTTGATTTCTCCAAAACATGTGGAAGATGTCCTTGTTTTTTGGAGATAAATGAAAGAAAGTTAAATATCTGATGTAGTGATGAAGAAACGGAACAGAAATGATGTTGTTTTACTAAAAATGCAAATTTTTACTGATGAACNATAACCTCTGAGTTAAATGAAATGGAAATGATTTCATCTATCAATTTTGAATTTTAATTGATAAGCATTAAAATTCGCACTGGCTTCCCTGCAATTTGAGTGGCTACTTTAAACAAGCATTGATTGATTGGTTGTTTAGGTTTAAGTGTTTCATTCTCATGGGCTGTGAAACTAATGAGACAATCTCAGATAGTGCAGAGCGCAATTGATAGCTCTGGTACAGTAGTCCCATGAGTAGTCACCCCTGCTTGGTTCACTTCCGGTTTGTGTCTACCTTGTTAGTCTGCTACAGCTTCTCCCCTTTGCAGTGTGTATGTTTCAAGGTTGTATTTTCATTCAAGGTCCAAAAATTACGCACAAATTTATTACTACTGGTGTTTTACATTGATTTTCATTCATTTTAAATTCAATAATATGCTGAAGCAGCAAACGTGACAATTTAGCTCTTCATGCCATCTCTGTAACTTGATACTTCTGTTTTCCTCGCAAAGGCATGTAATATGAAACCCTTGTTTTCTCCAAAACATATGGAAGATGTCCTTGTTTTTTGGAGATAAATGAAAGAAAGTTAAA